TGCTGTAAACCATTGATATTTCAAGCTTAGGCTATTTTCGAAATAGTTGAATTTATTGTAAAAATTAAAGCTTGAGGTTAGTTACTGCAGGGATTTGACAAGAACCATAACTCCAACCAATTCCAACTAATTCCAACTCAAACATGAAAAACAAATTCTTTTAAGACACACTATTAATATCTGTAGAGGTTGGTATTTAAGAAAACTGTTTTCAGGAGTTTCGTCTGGTACCACCAAATTTGTACTATTCCCCGTTTATAGTCGGGTGTGAAAATACCAAGCATAGATTTGTCAGATAAGCGAATTGTTTCAGTAAAATAATTTCTAAAATATTTGTTTTCGATCAAACTCTAAACTCTATCACATGGCGAGGTTGAAGTACTATTTATCTGAGGTCAATAATTTTGTTTATTAATATTATGGCGCTAATCTGGCATGCTTGAGATTATTATTATTAATGGACACTTTTAATTTGAAACAAATGTGCTTAATTGGCAAAAACAACTGTCTTATGTTTTCGCTATTTTGAGATATCTTCAGAAGAAACACATCTAATCTGCAGCTGAACTTCACAAAATCTACTTTAAATGCTTTTTGAACAAAGTTCTGATCTTTAAGATTGATATAGTTGAAGGACACTCGGCACTCCCAAGTGTCCTATCTGGGGTCTAAACATTTGCGTAGATTTTTATGTAAGAAACCAGAAAACCAAAAAGAATGCAAAGAAACCACAGGAAATGATATTTCTTAACAAAAATATTGGTATCTGCGAAACTGCCTGACCCCATTTATGAAACTTAGTTTCCGATACTGGGTTTTATTAAATGATACTCTTAATTTTCGGGATCTAATGTCAACTGCGGAATCTGTGACTTAAATGGAGTGGTATGTAGTTGAACTGAGAATGCAGAATTTTTAGGAATCATTAAAGACCTATAAGATGTTTTTACGGTGCATATTTGCTCGGCAATAGCACAAATTCAATTTTTAAAATCCTCATAGATTGTTAATTTTTGAGGGATGATTTTGAGTATCGGTTTTCAAAAAATTATTCAATAACGACGACGAAAAATGTAGTAAAAATCTACAGTAAACTAATAAGTTGTTTAGGAACGGGTGGAAAAAATAAAATTAACTATTATCCTCGAAAATAAGTGATCTTTATCAATTGTCATTTTTTGTAATGACTCATTGTTCAAAAACATTTTCTGAAGATTTCCCGCGCGGTATGTTTATTGAAAAGACGAGATTTGAAGAAATCTGCGAACAAATTCATAAAGAATAAGAAATTCAATATAATGAATACAAAGAAAAAATTGATTCTAACATTGATTTATTAGAAATACGTTCCTTAACATTTTATAAGTTTACTGTAGGATTTTTTAAAATTTTTTGTCGTCGTTACTTAATAATTTAAAGAAAATCGATTCTCAAAACGTAAACACCCAAATGGACGATTTTGAACGTCGACTTTGAGTTCAAACTAAGTATATAACCATCATTAAAACGTTTTCTATAACTCGAATGAATCCAAAAAGATTCTCCACAATACTACATTCTCAATTCAACTACCATACACTTCCGGGTTTCTCCCTTTAACCTGACCTAACCTGACTTCTTATACAATTCACTGATCAAACTTATCGTATTCTTAGGCTGTTAATAACATTTCTTATCCTACGAATATCATTATACGATTAATGAGACTGTCAAACAGTTTTTTCAGATTTAATGGGTCCTTAGAGTACAAATCCTGCTTTACAGGAAGGTTTTATAAACAATCCAAAACATTTCAGCTTTTTGTCACATACAAAACAGATAATGCTAAGGAGACAGTTGGCAAAAAAAGATCTTGGTCAGATTTTTCTCATCCAGGAAATAGATAATGACGAAGAGAAAGTTGGCAAAAAAATATCTTGGTCAGATTTTTCTCATCTAGGAAATGGATAAAGATAATATGATAAATGATAAAGAGATAGTTAATTGACAGAAACTAATCTTGGTCTATTTTATTTTTTTTTTACATACGAAATAGATTATGATAAAGATACAGTCGGTAAAATTGGATTTTGGTAAATTTTTTGTTATCTATGAAATAGATAATGATAAAGGAACAGTTGACAGAAACTGATCTTGGTAAATCATATTTTTTATTACCTACGAAATAGATAATGATAAAGAGACAGTTGGGTGGAAAGGATCTTGGTCAGATATTTATTTGATCTAACAGAATTCAACGTTTAAGATATCTACATTTGATAAGAATTCAATCCAACAAGGCATATTTTTAATATCTTTATTTAAATGAAGAAAAAAAAACATTGTAAGGTGCACAAATCATAAATTTTCACTTTATGTTAAAAGGCCTATTTTGGTTGTAGTTAAAAGGTTTGTCTATGAGAACCAAGATATTCATGTGAATCAATCAAGCCAACATAACTTAAAGGGACATACGAACGCGTAATTTCAAATGACCCTCAAAGCGAAAATGGCAATGCAGGATACACAACAGTACCATTGAAACCTTTATCTGACCAAAAGAACGAAAGTTAACGTCGCTTTTCAAGGTTTAAAAGTCTTTGCCTCTGACAATTGCGATCTGTATTCCTGCGAGAGTCACTTTTGTAGAGAAACCACAATCGAAAATAATCGTACGATATTAGACAAAGTGTTTAAGGGTACATTCAAAGAGAAAGGAAACGAAGATGTGAAGCTTACCTCAGATGTACACAACCTACCACCCTATTAGTTAGTTAATAGGGTGGTCGATTGTGCACATCTCGATTTGTTTACGTATCTAACACTGATATAGAGTGATCGTATTTCCTTTCTCTATGGGTACATTAAGGATTTACAACGAATCGGGCATTCCCTTCTTCAATCAGAAAAATTAATCTTTTTTTGATAGTCTTTAACGATTTGCAAATTTGATATGCAAGTATATATGTTTGGATCTGCTATAGTGTGTAAAACTCATAGCAAATTTTAACCTAGAGATTAAAAAACTTGCCGCCAAAATTTTTTTTCTTAGAAATGTAAAAATTCATCGATAAAAAACAGAAAAAATAGAGTTTGTATGCATAAATTAGTTCAAATTAAATTCTTGCCATATTAACTAACCCCCCCCCCCCTCACCATGCTTCCCTAATCTACACTCATTCATTCATGCTGAAAGTATATAAATAGAAGGTTAAAAATAAATAAGTTCCCTGATTGCTTTGTTTTCCAAGATTAGATTACGTTTAATCCACTACTCTTTTATCCAAGGAAAAAACTATAATAATTAATTCATCAGACTTTTGGTATAAAGAAGAAACAATCCGATGTAAGCCGATATGTTTTTTTTTCAATTTAAAGTTGAGGAAACCCTGTCAGGAAACTAAATCTAGATTTAAGAAATATGATGCAGTGTATTCGCCTTGTTAGGGCAGCACGAAAAAAATACATTGATGATAAATTACAAGAATATAGTAAAGATTGTAAACAGACATGGCTAACTATCAATAGTGTACTATGAAAGGGACGTAAAACAGTTAAAATTCCTGATTTATTTGTGAGCAAAGGAAAAGTTCTCTCAGCTAGGGGCCGTAGAAATATCAGAGGGTTTTAATAATTTTTTTGCTAATTTAGGTCCTGATCTAGCAAAAACTATTAAAGGCACTAACAAACTATTTTTTGACTTTTTATCACAGGGAACGGATGAAAACTTTGATTTTTGCGAATATGACCCCTCATATAATAAATGATGATCTTAACAAATTAAAAAGTAAAACAGTTCTGGACCAGATAAAATGTCAATAAAGGAATTGAGTCTATGCCACCAACTCTGATTTTCAAATCCCTATATATCGGGATTCCAATGTCGTAGACCTGTTACATTTCAAACTATGACTTCTGTTAGATCAAATAATATAAGTTTGAAATATCAAAGGTTTAGGACATTTGGTTCCAAAGATTTAGGTATTTAAAAATCAAAGTTTGTGGCAAAGACTTAACTCCTTTGCTGAAGTCTATTTACCAATTATCATGGGTCCTATCTGTCATTTATTTAATTTATGTTTTGGTTTATTCCTACTATTCTTGAAACTGCAAAAATCGTCCCAATCTTCAAAGTTGGGGAAACGGACAATTCTACAAATTATATACCTATAAGTTTGCTTTCTTCGTTTTCAAAACTTCTAGAAGAAGTGGCAGCAAATCAAATCATGAAATATTTGAATAAATTTTATTAACTATTTTTTGAACATTAGTTTGGCTTCAGAGCCAAGCACAATACTACTCAACCCTTAATTAGTTTCTTAGATGAAATATACAACGCACTAACTAAACCTGTCTTCGAATACACTCAGGGAATTTTTATAGATTTAACTAAAGCTTTTGATACAGCTGTGATGTGGAAATTCTACTGAGCAAGCTTGAACACTAGGTATTTTTTGGGATTTATAACTTATGGTTCAAAAATTATTTAAATGAAAGAAAACAATTTACTCCAATCAGGGTGTTGGCTCTTCACGTATAGAAGTCTCCTGTGGTGTACCAAAAGGGTCGATATTGGGACCAATTTTATTTCTGATTCTTATTAATGACCTTCTTAAAGAATAGAATTTTTTTACAATTCTTTTGGCTGATAATCATATAACACTGCAAGTTTTTTCATTAGCTGACAAGACTTTGTGTTTTGGCAAATTTTGAGCTCTCTAAAGAAGAAGATTGGTTTAAAGCAAACAAACTGGCTTTGAATGTATATTCTCTTTAAAAATAAAAAAAGATGTAATTATATCACCTTTTTCATCCAACTTTTTCTAATCGGGTTCAAACTACTTAACGGATTATGATTGTTAATGTTTATTTTTTATTATGTCATTCTTAGTATTTTTTCTCTATCCTAAAATCTTTAAATTTCTTAGAAAATCTTTCCTTTTTAAATATTATTTTTTGAATGGTATGAGATTTTTACTTTACTCTGGATCCTTCAATATTTATCTTTTCTCACAAAAAAATAATCTTTCATCATTTTTATTCTCCAAATGTAAATAATTATTTATTATTTTCAAAACTATATTTGGCTTTCCAAGGTCAATACAATAATTGCAACTTTTCCATCATCTTTAAATAGTAAGTTTAACTGGACACATAATAACACTAACTTTTCTAACTTTATTCAGACTTATAACTGTACTGCAATCTGGTACAGCAGCACTACCAAACTTTTTATGTACATAGACTGGCAGATCGGTAGTATTATTAGGTTCAATATTCAACGGTACATGCAATGTAATATCCGGTACAAGAACATTCAGATTATATTCCTTTTTAAAAGAAGATCGGTCTAAAAATTTCTCGAAACTTTTTGAATTGTCATAGTATTTGGTCAAACTCTTAGGTCTAGAGGGGTTTTTAGGATCTTGATAAAGACCGCAGGCAGGTTTTTCAGTCAAATCTAATGAGGTTTTAGAGGACATTAAAGCTTGGCGGATAGCCTCTGATTGATTCTGTTCCTCTGTGTCCGCCTTGTAACGGTCTCTTTCCACCCTGTACCGGTTCCTGTCCGTCCTGTAACGGTCATTCTCTGTCATACATTCACGGCGTTTCAACTTAGATCCAGGAAACTTTTCCGACCATGGTTTTAGAGGGAAGAACTCTGGAAAAAGTAAAAAATAGTTAACTTACTTTGATCATAAATTAGTTTATTTTTGTTATTTTTGTTTGCATGTAGGCGGAGGCCGGAGATCCTCCATTTATAGTATAGTATGATACCTTTTAAACCTTTGTTAAAATGAAAATATGGAAGATATCCCGATATCTGCTTTGAAAAGTTTTGAGTTCTTACAATGTTCTTAATTGTGTTTACGGCGTATGGAGAAAACACAGTAAAAAATTTAGCTCGAACAAAGCAAGGAATAATCATGCACTTTAGATCAGACAAAGGCTGAAAGGGTTCTGCTGGGATATCTACTGCAGAAGTTTCCTAATAAACTATTACCAAATTTTTTCTTGAATCTCTCTTTCTTTTTCTCCTCTGATAAGACCAATTCCATGTTCATTCCAGCTGACAAACAATGTGAAAATCTGAAAAAAATATGTTTTAAAAATCACTAAACTCTTATAAATTGAAAAATAGGTGAAATCAAATTTTTCAACTAAATTAAATTTGATTAGGGGGTTCAGTCAATAAAGAAGTTAAGTCTTCGTCACAACTCACAAATGCAAATTTCTAATCCCTATATGCCGATGGTGAAAACCTACAATTTTGATTTTTCAAATAGAATTTTTGATCTAACAGGATTCATTGTTTGAAATATCTAGAAGGTCTACGACATAAGTTGTAACAAGACATGGGTTGCAAAAATACATCGGTTGCAAAAAGACATGGGCTGCAAACAGACATGGGTTGCAAAAAAGACATGGGTTGCAAACAGACATGGGTTGCAAAAAGACATGGGTTGCAAAAAGACATGGGTTGCAAAAAAGACATGAGTTGCAAACAAACATGGGTTGCAAAAAGACATCGGTTGCAAACAGACATGGGTTGCAAACAAACATGGGTTGCAAACAAATATGGGTTGCAAACAAATATGGGTTGCAAACAAATATGGGTTGCAAAAAGACATGGGTTGCAAAAATACATCGGTTGCAAAAAGACATGGGCTGCAAACAGACATGGGTTGCAAAAAGACATGGGTTGCAAAAAGACATGGGTTGCAAAAAGACATGGGTTGCAAAAAGATATGGGTTGCAAAAAGTCATGAGCTGCCAAAAAACATGGGTTGCAAAAAGACATGGGTTGAAAAAAAGACATGGGTTGCAAACAAACAAGGGTTGCAAAAAGACATCGGTTGCAAACAGACATGGATTGCAAAATGACATGGGAAGCAAAAAGACATGGGTTGCAAAAAGACATGGGTTGCAAAAAGACATGGGTTGCAAACAGACATGGATTGCAAAATGACATGGGTTGCAAAAAGACATGGGTTGCAAAAAGACATGGGTTGCAGAAAGGTATCATCAGAAAATCAGAGTTTTTGACAAAGACTTACTGCCTTTAAAAAATATTTGCGGAATATAAAAAAGCACCTGCAGGGTATACAATTTCTTCTCCTCCATTCTGTTATATTACAATCACCGAGTAACCTGAAACAAAGACACTCTTGAAATGATATAAAGACGACATTTGTGTGAAACCAATATGAAGCATAATTTTGGCGTAGAAACAAGAAATGATGGAACAACTTCAAATTATGAAACTATTGGGTTCGGACTCGGAGTGGGTTGATAGCAAGTATGACGGAGTACAATAGAGAAGGGGTTGACCTACCTCGCCCCACCACATGATTATGTATGCTTTGCAGAACGGTGCTTTGTTAAGAGAAGATTTGTTTTAAAGATCGTCTTTCTATTTTTTATATGTGGCTTTTTACTTCACCATGTTAAAGAAAATCAATTTTTATTGATATTAAAAATACTTGTGTTGCCATATTTTTGCCTACCAAAGTCCTTGAAAAGTAAAGCCTTCATATTCCTCCATGAAAAAGCCCTTTGAATAATGCAGAAAGAATGACGTGATAAACATGGTCTTTAGCCATTTTTCTAGCTTTGTGACTCTAAATTCAATGGTTAGGGTGCAGGCAGTATTGTGATAACCAGACAAAAAATGGACAAGGAAGACAACATTGATGATTTTACAAAACAAATAGTTTTACTTATAAAATCACTAGTTTTGGGAAATGGGTCTGTTTTCACTGCACAATTGCAGCAGTGTCTCATGCTCATTTTCTTTTTTAAACTTATAACTTGGTTTCGAAAGTAGTATTCTTATTTTACAGAATTCTGATTATAAGTCTTACTGTATGTGGCTTGTTTTTATGGAAAGCACAATTTCCCTCAAAACGAGTTTTGCTCGAAATAAATGTTCTCCACCGGCCAACGTATTTGATTTGAATTCCTTTGGTGAGATTTAACATTGAAATTTAAACAAACAAACAAAAGAATACTAAACCGTTTTAATTCATATTTTTTGCAATCTAATGGTTGGCAAAGACTCAATCCTTGTATAATTTGTATGCTAAAAGTCAAGGCTGTCTAACTAAAAAACTGAGTGTTAGTTTTCATGAGCTAAATTATTATTTTTTGTTTTTGTTGACAATGTATCCTAGGTTAATTAATTTTTATTGTATATATTTACCTGCACTGTTGCTTGTCAAGGTTAGATTTAGTTACGCGACGGAAGAAAGATCTGCAGGAATAACAGGATATACCTTAATAACAGGTTATATCTTAATAACAGGATATACCTTAATAACAAGATATACCTTAATAACAGGATATACCTTAATAACAGGATATATCTTAATAACAGGATATACCTTAATAACAGGATATACCTTAATAACAGGATATACCTTAATAACAGGTTATATCTTAATAACAGGATATACCTTAATAACAAGATATTCCTTAATAACAGGATATACCTTAATAACAGAATATACCTTAATAACAGGATAAACCTTAAAAACAGGATAAACCTTCATAACAAGAGAAGCCTTAATTATAGGATAAACCGGAATAACAGGAAAAACCTTAATAACAGGATATAACTTAATAACAGGTTATATCTTAATAACAGGATATACCTTAACAACAGGATATATCTTTATAACAGGATATACCATAATAACAGAATTTACCGTATACAGGATATACAAGTCTGTCTACACCATTTACTGTGTTTTATATGCATTGGACTATTGGAAATCCTTTATCTACAGTTTTATGGGTTCCACCGTATATGGAGACTAAAAAACTTTTTCCATTTTTAAAGGGACTGTATGCGTAAATTCAGGAGACCCTCTATTTGCAGAGTCGCATGTCCGATTCACAACAGTACCCTTTAAATTTTTGACAAGTTGGAGAACTATAGATATTTTTATTATAATTTTTGAAAACTCGTTTTTAATGAAATATTCGAGATTTTCGAGGAATACTGGTAAACTAAACTTTGTGTTGAGTTCAAACTAGCGTACACTAGTTTTATATCAATTTGAATATTAGAGATCTCTGCTCTCGATAATTAGAGATCTCTGCTCTCGTTAATTAGAGATCTCTGCTCTCGATAATTAGAGATCTCTGCTCTTGATAATTAGAGATCTCTGCTCTCGATAATTAGAAATCTCTGCTCTCGATAATTAGAGATTTCTGCTCTTTAAATGGGGGGGGGGGGTCACTTGAAAGCATGCTTACAGTCCCTTTAGTAATTAAGAAAAATGCACCAAATATTCATAAAAAATACACAAATGTTTTATCTCATAATAAATATCTTTACTTCTACCAACCTCCATAATGTATTCGGTTCTTTTCCATTGGGACCTGGCAGACCTCACACTTACTCTTCCAGCCCTTTCGGGATAGCTCTTCTATATTAGACATTGTGCTTCTCTTCTTCTTCTTTATCTTCTACTAGCCTGGGAACTCAGCTTTGCCTTGAGACAAGGTTTTCTTTATAAGAGTCAATCTATTTGATCAAAAATTGTTAGACCAAGCTATGAAGATTCCCGTGGTTCTACAGAGTTCCCCAATCAGAATTTAATGCAAATTGATTAAGAAGTTCCTGAGTTATCATCGGACATACAAACAAACAGAGATTACTACTTTATACATATAGATTTCGCTTTATATGTAGACTGGAAAATTAAAGGGACCGTTCAGTTATTTGGGTAATTTCATGGTAAACTAAACAGACATTAGCTGTTGATTGGTTTTAGTCTTGCTTTTCAAAGACAACTGTGGCCGGAGAAAAAGCCGATTTTTCGTTCAGAATTTGAGCGCAAAGGGACGGTACCTTTGTCTGAAACACTATACAGATACTAGACGTTTTTTAGCAACAACAACCCAAACAAATTTAAATTTATTATATATCAATGCCATTAAGTGTTAGCTATTAAACATATACTAAAATATAAAACACTTTTGATATTTTAGTTACCAATAAATTTATGTTTTGTTATGTTATGTTATGTTAGAAAAAGAAATTAAAAAAAATATGACATTTACAATGGGCTATTAGATACTACAGTTTAATTTTGTATTCATTTTTTTTAATCCATGACATCGACAAAAAACATCAAGTAGTGTATTGAACGAAAAAAACGGTTTTTTCTCCGATAATTGTCTTTGAAAAGTGAGACCAATACTAATCAAAAGCTAATAAGCTATTTAGTTTACCTCGACATTACGCAAATAAGTGAACGGTCCCTTTAAAAAAACTTTTAGTCGTTGATCTTTCTGTAAGCCTTTTGTATATTTTAAAAGATAACAATACAAAATTTTGCTGTTTTTCTTATTTTTATTGGAAATATATTTTTTCAAGTATTTTTTTTGTCTCAGATCAGAACTAAACTGGTCGTTTTTTACGTTTATTTGATGCTGCAAACACACCTAGTAAAAGAAGGAAAAACCAGACACGCCTGATAAATAATTTATAAATGATAGTGGTTTTGTATGTTTAAAGGAAAAGAATTGACCAGGGATTTCCAATGTAAAAACACATATGTAAAACAGTGAACTGTAAATCTGTGGAGTTTTTGCCATGAAAACAGTTGTAAAAACCAAGAATCAGCATACTAATCAATAGAGAGGCATGTTTCTGATCAAAAGGTGAATATAGCAATATTTAGAAAAGTGTTATATCTTAGAAATTACCTTCATCTTCAAATTCTGGAAAGGCCAGCTGGACTGGATTGAAAATGACATTTGCTTTTGTTTATAATTATCATCATGGGTTTAAGTGCATATTGCCCCCCCTTCCCAACCTACCCCTTCAACTTTGTATTTATTTATATGTAAATGTTGTTCAAAGAATTTTGACTACTGAGGATCGTCATGAGGCGTGAAACATTATGTTTATTATAATTCTTTATTAATAAAATGTGAAGTTTAAAAACTTTAATATATATATATATATATAATATATTATATATAATATATATCTTCTTAAAATAAGTCTAGAACATTTTCTATTGTTTATTAAGATTGGTTATAGCTGGACACTGTTTGTTTCATTTTTGACATTCATTTAATTATATTTATATTCATATTCATATCATATTCATATATTCATATTTATATATATAAATACATATATGAATATGATATGAATATATATATTTATTTTATTCACCTGCTCATGAATTGTGGGTTTTCATTTTTCTTCTATTAAATCTAAAAAAGAATCTCTTATATTTGAATAATATGAATAGTATTAATAAAAAATTCATTTAAATCTTCTTGAAAGTCTTAATTTAATTTTTAATGTGTCTGTGAGGTCACTGTATCATTGTATCAACATCTTTCTCTATATGCTCTCTGTACCATCGTATCTATATGCTCTCTGTATCATCGTATCTATATGCTCTCTGTACCATCGTATCTATATGCTCTCTGTATCATCGTATCTATATACTCTCTGTATCACTGTACATCTATATGCTCTCTGTATCCCTGTACATCTATATGCTCTCTGTATCCCTGTACATCTATATGCTCTCTGTATCCCTGTACATCTATATGCTCTCTGTATCACTGTACATCTATATGCTCTCTGTATCACTGTACATCTATATGCTCTCTGTATCACTGTACATATACATGCTCTCTGTATCATCGTATCTATATGCTCTTTGTATCACTGTACATCTATATGCTTTCTGCATCCCTGCATCTCTATATGTTCTCCCTATCCCTCTGAATCTCTATATGCATTCTGTCTCCCTGGATCTCTATATGTTCTCTATTATCCTATCCCTGTATCTCTATATGTTCTCTGTACCATTGTTTCTCTATGTTCTACCTAACCCTGTATCCCCATATGTTCTCTGCATCCCTGAATCTTTATGTTCTAATTGTGTATTCCTATACTATCTCTGTATCCCTATATCTCTATGTTCATATAACCCTGAATCTCTATATGTTCTCTGTATCACTGTATCTCCATGTTCTATATAACCCTGTATACCTATATGTTCTCTGTATCACTGAATCTATATGACTGATAAACCTAATGTCCCACTAGTACGGGATACGACTAAGAGTATTGGAAACGAAATGGAACCAGATCGAAATTCTAACTTAGATCCTGTAGATCGAAGGTACAAATAAATAATTTGTCAAATATCTGTACCTATTTACCATTTAACATAACACTGGGTTACTTTACTATGTGTTATGTTAATAATTCCACCTAAAAAATACATTTTAGAAAAGTATTTTTTTAAGGTGGAAAAATATAATCAACTGTACTTAAATTTCCAAATTAAATCGAAATGTCACATTTCCAGTTTTAAATCATAAAACCTTGGTCTAATTCTGGAGGGAAATTCTTCTGACAATTTAAAAAGATTGTCAACCTTAATTATTTGAAGTAATCTTCATCAATAAGCTGTTACAACGGTTACCTTTAATCCTTTAATTGAAAAGCTATTATAAGAAAATAAAAATGGTTTAAATTTCTAATAATACAACCAAATAAAATCAAAACTAGAGATACGGGTTCACAAAGTAGATTTCTGGTACAGAAATGTTGCATAAAGGAATTGAGTCACATACACTCAAATATTCTAATCCCTTTATCTTTGAAGCCTGGTGGTGTAAACTTTTGATTTTTCAAACTTAGATTAGTTTATTTAACAGAATTGATAATATGAAATATCTAAGGTCTACGCCATTGGGTTGAAAAGATAAAGGGGTTAGAAAATTATATATTGTGGTAAACACTCAAATCCTTTGACCGTCTCCTTATGTCCAGCTTTTACAGTGAACAGTGGCTTGTGGATTATGCAGAAGAGTCAAGATTAATTAATTTCTTTCAAAAAAATAATATCATCATCCTTCTTATTACTCCAATATAGGTTTAGACTTTACAAGGTACGCTTATGAATCGGACATGTACTTTTTTAAATGGAGTTTGACTTGAAGTACATTTTAAATCCTATTGGGAGCCAGTGGTGACTGGGGTTGGAAACAAGTTTGCCTGAAATTAAATTGGCACTAGAATTAACAAGCCAATACTTCTTATCCTGCTTTAAATGCAACATTGCACCCTGGTCCAGATAAATTGTTCATATAATCAGATTTCACAATATGGTAGGTTACAAATTTCGAATGTCTGGGCGCAGAATTATTTAGCTACACTATGATTTAATGGATTCCAAAATTTAGTGAGCTTCGCACCCCTTTCACATTTTCATCAATAATATTATATATGTCATAATTTTCCTACGTGTATAAAATATAAAAAAAAATAATTTGATCAATCTTTGCAGATTTAAGTAGACGACTTTTCAAAATAATGTCAGCAGTGCTGGAAACTCTTACATTTCAGATACTCTTAATCCCGTTCGCTTCATCTCAATATCTACTGTGGACACTTTTGATTTTATGCTTAATTCGCTCTTGTGGATTTCCTTGCTGAGTTCCAACCAATGATAATTCTCTCATTAATTGTGCTAAAAAAATTCCGGCTTTTGATTAGCAGTTCGGTTTATGCAAGCGACACTCTGATTGGTTTAATTTAGACACTTTCATGGATATTGAATTAAAGATTATATTATCAAATAAAGATTAACAAAAAGAGGAGATCAAGCATTGATCTCATATCAAAAGTTTTTAAGTTTTAGCTCAGGTTTGATTTCGAGTCTTGATCTAAACAAAAACAACCCCGAGTAAAAAGGATCCATTACAATCATTGGACCAGGAAAATACATAAATAGGGGTAAATTCTGTCCGTATCCTACAAATAAATATTTACGGTCTACAAGATTCAAGGTTTTCATGGACAAGCTTTTCTCTCAATCTTTTTATTTTTCTGAAGTAAGGGCAATCGGTCCCTAATAGTTTTAACTAGGGGTTTACAATTTTTTGAGAAATCGCTTTCGCAAAATATCGATGATTGATTTAAAAATATTTCGAGAAATTTCATGGGTTTTTCTGCCAAATGTTTGCAAAAATTTTGTCGAACTTAATAAATTTTTGTTGAGTTTCACACAATGTGTTAGAACCCTAGTCTGAAATTTTGACTATTCCTAAAAATATTTTTTTTTAGAGATATATCAGTCACAGTGATGAAAAATGTGCGCGATGTCAGCAAAAATGTATTAATTACCATTTGTCAACTAAACTTTAAAGACGAAGACGATCCGGTCTTGAAAACTGATGCTTTGTGCTGTAGCAAAAATTGCATTTTACAAAATCTTGATTATTTCTACGTGACCCTTTATCAGAGATAACATTTTTTTGCAAAGAATTTATCGTTTTTATCTGCTGAAATCTGTTTAAAGGCTACCGTTTTACATCGATGATAGCATCCATAGATTAACTAACAATACAGATTGAAAATTTTTTAAGTTTTTCGTTCACAATAACCCTGAGGTAGAGGCTCAAAGAGGTTAAGTGCAAACTCTCTCTCTGTCTTGCAATTCAACTCTGCCTGCGCGGAACTCCTTTGGGCTTCTGCCTCAGGGTTATCAGGAACGAAACCCCTGAAATCTTGAAATGACGATATCTAGTGTTTTATCTGTATTTTTATTAATCTACGATAGCATCCTTTAAAAGTGCAAAGCAGTTTAATAGAACAATGGTAAACTGAATTTGAGATTGATTAAAGTATTAAAACAAGTTTTTCTGACATTTTGTGGGTTTATTCTGTCTCCATTAGTTTCGTGCTAAACTATTAGACTATTAATATTCACACTAAGGTCCACGACTTAAACGGATGCTTAAGAATTTAAGAAGAAGAAGAGTTTAACACCTATATCTTGTAGCGGGTTATAGTTTAACACTTTTCATGATTTAAATTAATATTCTAAAATTATGAGTAAAACACACAGATTGTTAGTAAAGCAAATTAAAAGTTAAAAATAGATATAATAAACAATCGTCCAATTTCTCCGTTTCTATCTTTAGACTTGAACCCAAATTGACCATTTATTCAGGTCAAACCTTCCTTACATTTTAGTATTAAAGAAACTTAAAATTAAATCAAGTTACAACAAGGAAATAAATAATTGTCGATAATTAACCAATAATGTATTATGATGTAATTGTACTAATGTGTAATTGTTATCTAACAATATAAATAAGACTGAATTGCTCTGGCATCAGTTCCATCAGAAGACCCACAAAATGGTGACCAAACCCTAGGATCGACCCTGCTCCATCCCTGTAGGTATAAAATGCCCCAGTTTTATAAAAAAAAAAGTATATAGTGTCAAGTTCTAAGGTAGTGAGATTCATGAAAAAAATGAAAAGTGAGATTTAAAAATCCAAAATGAGAATATGAAATTTAAACTTTTATTTTCAAACTCTGGTATTGACGGTAGTGAGATTTGAAAATCCAAAATGAGAATATAAAATTTCAACTTTTATTTTGAAACGGTGGTATTGGCGGTAGTACATTTGAATAACACTTATATTTTTAAACTGTGGTATTGAGGGTAGTGAGATTTGAAAATCAAAAATCCAAATAAAAATTTCAACTTTTTTTTCAAACTGTTGTATTGGCGGTAGTGAGATTTCAAAATCCAAAATGAGAATATAAAATTTAAACTTTTATTTTCAAACTGTGGTAGTGGCGGTAGTGAGATTTCAAAATCCAAAATGAGAATATAAAATTTAAACTTTTATTTTCAAACTGTGGTATTGGGGGTAGTGAGATTTGAATAAAAAACTTCAACTTATACCACAGTTTGAAAATAAAAGTTTAAATTTTATATTCTCAGTTTGGATTTTGAAATCTCACTACCGCCAATACCAGAGTTTGAAAATAAAAGTTTAAATTTTATATTTTTTATATCTTACGTAAGGATGGATATAAACTATACAGGTTATCCTCAAAAGATGAGACTTCAGCGGGACTAATTGTACGGAATTTATTCAGTTTTATTCTTTCTTAAAGGGACTGTAAAGGAAAAATTAAAGGGGGTATAGGCAGTATACTGTTCACGTGGTACAGACAGAAACTTGTGACCAGTATACTGCACTCTCATTGGTGGGAGTTCTTGTGACGTATACGAACTTATAAATAATATTATCAATTATATCCATTAAAAATAAAAATAAAAATTATAAAATAATGATTGGAGAAAACCTAAGTTACAATAAGGTTTCTTTGGGATCTTTGTTTTCAGATTTGTTGCGTATTTTCTGAATATGATCTGTTTAAACCCACCATTTCTATACAAATTTGTATATATATAAATGTTCGTATAAAATTGACACAGTTTTATATAAATTTCTCGAGACAGGAACATCAGATCTAACTTTCATGGGTCGCGATCAAGAGCTAAAGTGATAAGCTTTCAGCCTATTCCACCTTTTAATTTTTCCTTTACAGTCCCTTTAAGCACATGATTTCCTACTGCTATAAAACAGTTTTTTAAACAAACCATGTGATGCAATTAAGGCGATTATATCAATAACATGAAGAAGACTTTTTTATATAAAAGTTTTGGTTTTTAACAAGCTTCTTTCGAATTACAAGTTTACAAGTTATTAAAGAGAAGCTTTTTTAATCATCAATTTCTCTTGACCAATTAACTGGACTATCTTGATAAGTTCAAATATTTCTATCAAATATTTTTTATGTCATAAAATTCATCAAAATAAAAAATGCATAAATTTTCTTTTCTTGCACTTGGTACAGTTGCTCTGGCTCAATTAGCCTTTATTTTTTCCATGTCTCGTATCTTAAAGGTTTATAATTTACATTTTGTCTCTAGCTTCATTTTTAGCAGAGAGACATTTTCAGTCCAAACACCAAAACAATACACATCTTTATAGAGAAGGCTTCATGATTGAAAAAAAAATGTAAAATACTATTTGTCCACTAAACACTAATTTATTTTGCTTATAATAGAAATTATGAAAATCCAAAACCATAGCAAAAGCAAAAGCAAAAGCAAAAGTTAAAAAAAATTTACTTAAATATTTCAAAATAATGGATAATCCTACTGAAGACGTATCAAAGGCAAAAACCAAGGTCTGGAGGAATTTTTTGTTAAACTTTTCCCTAAAAAGATAACCCACTCACTAGCTAAGTATTTTTAAACCACACTAAGAACATTTCCGTTGTTCTTTTGAGTTCCTCAATCAACATCTGGAAATTCAAACAATTATACAGACAGACCAACAGAGAAAATCCTAAATTCATAAAATGTTTAACCTTTTCCCATTTTGTTGCAGAAGACATTAAGTTGTAGAGAAGCTTAATATGAAATTATTGAAGACAAAAATATACCTAGTATATCTATGGGCTCAAACATGGAGCCATATAAGCTCTTTCTATATTACTTTGGATACTTTTTACAGTGAAGTTCAAATAATAATTGCAGAGATACGAGTTCGATATTTCATAATTCATAATGCATTTAAACCAAAAATCTATGGTAACGGCAAGAAGGGAATTTAGCAAGTTGTAAAAACTGCATCTTCGAACTGAAGGTTTATCGTGTCTTACTTGGCACAATTTTTTTCGAATTAACATTTAATTATCAAATTTTAGGCTCAACCTTTTATTATTGACATGACGTTTTTTGCTATATGTCGTTTTTAAGTTTAGAATGGCTCTGCGGCTAGACAGGGGAGAGTTCTGACTTGGACAGGGATTTATGATTATTTTTTTATGATAATTTATTTGTCCAATACATTAAACCTTCATGCAAATAGATTGTCAAGTACAATGGATGGCAACAAAAAATGGACAAATTGTGCACGACGTCACAAGTGTCAAATGTGAAAAGAATGACGACATTTCTCCAATTATTTGATAAGATGTCCAAGATTCAGCTGTGATAAATATCGTTTTTGTAGGAATACGTCAAAAACATTTCAGTTTTCTTAAACCTATAAAATAGGAATACAACTTAAAATTACATTCCTCTTTCTTCAGAAAAGTGTTCATTAACTCTTTAGATTTTAATATTAAAATCAGTCGTTGGGTTTGGGACATTAGTGGGAAAACCTGTATATATATTTGAAGAAAAAAAAATCAAAAATCCTTAGAAGACGACATTTCATTAGAAAACTACCTGTTCCTGTTGCCTGTATTTCCCCCAAATCTGAGGGGTTTAGCTCCATCAAACCTTTCCAAAGCCCTTTCCGAATATGTCATTTCACATTTCTGAAATATGTTTCAACGTTATATATTCAAACAATATCAGTTTTAACCCCTTTATTTAGTCAATAGAACATTGGATGAAAAAGTGTAAAAACAGAAAATAAAGAAAACATGAAATTGCTTTAATTTCACTGAAGAATAAGCACTTCAGTCTAAGATTATCACTCTTATTTCAATTTTTTTCAGACATAAAAATTGAATTTACACTTGTGACACGTAGATACAGTTGTACTGAGACTTGAGAGTGTACGCATTCCGCGTTGCAACCTATTGTACGTCATAATCTATTTGTCTACATGTGATAAATATTTGATTTGATTTGAGGCTTAAAGAGTAATTGCACCGTGTTTAGAGCAAGATAATTTGTACTCTAACAAAAGACAGCTGAACAAACTCAGATCAGTTAAAAGAAATTAAGAATAGAAAAAATGTAAGCCTCACAAGAAAACAACCTTTAAAGAGACATCTCATTTTCCTTATAGATTCGCATCATTAAAAAGTCAATAAAAAAGATCAAGGTTTTATAATTTATTTTTGCTGAAATTTACATTTTTTCTTCTCAAATATTCACTTTTCTTTCCAAAAATCTTTTCTTTCTCCATCTTAATCTGCGCCAGCTGTTCAAGAGGATCGTCGTCTTCGATTGTGTTGGGTTTAATACTTAGTGCGGCAACCTGCGCAAGCTCCTCCAGACTGTAAAGGTTTAATACCTAAAAGAAAGAACTTGTCTGCAAGAATTTGTATTTTACATCAACTACATAAAATTAATAAGGCTCGTAACTAGGACTTTCAAAAGGGGGGCAGGGCACCGTGCACCCCCCTCTTGTAGTTTGTAAGAAGAAAGTAAAGATTTCAAGTTTAGAATATTATCTGCATGGATTATTTTCCTATAATCCACCAATTTTAAGATTTAAAGCACTGCAATGTTTTTGCACAAACGCAGTTAGCTGTAAATATTCTTTTTTATCTAAATTTTAAAATGATTTTTTGGAGGAATTTTCAACAAGGATGTTTGTATAACCCCAGGAAAATTGATACAGCAGTGGGCTCCATACAACTTACAATCTTTCTAGTAGTTGATGTTGTTATAAAGCAAATAGTTTTACCAGTAGCTTCAAAATTAACGCATAAAGTAAAATTGGTTTGTGTACACTACACAATTGCAGACTATTTCAAATTATAACCAACGCAATTCTTCCTGCTCTTGCACAGTTTTCTGGGTCCAACCGTATAGAAAATAGTCGTCTCAGAACCTAAATCTGAGGTCAAAAGTAAAAAAATGTATTTTTTATGTACCTGGCCTCCCATGAGCAGATTGAGAATAAGAGATATTAGGAACCCAGGAACAAGGATTTCTACGGGAACTGGACTCTAATCAATAAATTCAAATAAAAAAAAATTATCCTTTGATTCAAGACACAAAAAAATCCTTTGAAATAAATGTAAAATTTGATGAAATAAATTAATGTTGATGCAATGACTTACCCTTAGATGCAATGCACAACCTTTGATGCAATGAATAAACTTTGATGCAATGCATAACCTTTGATGCAATGAATAAACTTTGATACTAAAGATTTCTATTGATGTAATGAAAATCCTGCAATTGAGTTTACTTTGGTGCAATGATTAACCTTTGATTCAATGACAAATCCTTTAAGTAAAGTGGAAACTTTAGTATACAATGAATAAACTTTGATACTATTAATTTCGATTAATATAATGAAATCTTGTAATTGAGTTTACTTTGGTGCATAAATAAAAACAGGGTGAGTAAAAAAAAGTGTGATTAGCGGCGTCTGCTGGTGCAAAGATTTTTTTTGTGCATGCAACTCTCCTGTTGTTTTTTTTATATTTTTTGATTTTTTTTTGGTACTCGTATGGCCCAAAAAAAATCCGCGAACCTTTTTTTCTCTCAAAATCAAATGTTCAGAAAAGCAAAAATGTGTTTATATACATTATTTTAATCTAATTCTAAGATTTTATAAATACTGAATCACAGAATCACAGAAAACTCTCAAAATTGTAATAAGAAAATTCGCAATTTTCAGTTCTGGTTTAATTTTTAAGGAAAAATTGTTTTTCTATGGCTCTTCAGGTTTTGACTGAACAGCGTAAATTTATAACTTTAGAGTAAACTTAGAAGAAAGGAACTATAGTTTTAAAAGTACTTTTCCTTAAAAATTAGACCAGAACTGAAAATTGCTAATTTTCTTATTACAATTTGCAAATTTTTTTTTGATTCTGTGATTTAACCTTTATAACATTTTAGAATTTGATAAAAATAATTTATATACACATTTTCGGGGTCCGTCCTAGAGAACGATTTTGGACCTCCCTCCCCCACTCCCAAAATGTACAAAATTGATAGGAGGGGTGGGGGGAGGGGGGGGGTATAAAAATCGTTCTCTAGGAAATTACCCATTTTTGCTTATCTGAACTTTTGATGATGGAAACCCCCCTCCCCACAGAAAGAAGGTAAATTTAATACAATGGTTCTCAACCCTCTAGAAAATTCAAAAATTTTAGCCTCCCCCTCTGGACAAATTACTTAAAACTGTGTAGTGTTTACAGACACAAGCTCTTAAGAGATTGATGCCAAACCAATGGGCATGCTCTTGTCAGCTAAAAATGTCAACAGGGACACAAGCTCAGCTCTCAAAGTCAACAAGGACACAAGCTCTTAAGCAATTAATTCCAAACTAATGGGCATGATCTTGTCAGCTTTCAATGTCAACAGGGACACAAGCTCAGCTATCAATGTCAACAGGGACACAAGCTCTTAAAGGGAGTGACCGGCTATGTAAGGTAGTTGAACTGAGGACGCAGTGTTGTGGAAAACTTCTTTAGGATTCATTTGAGACATATTTCACTTTTTAAAAGTCTGTAAATCCTGACTTTGAGCGCAAAATCGACGTTCAAAACTCCTGATTTGGGGGTGGATACGCTTTTAAAATTAGTTTTTTTTAAATTATTAATTAACGACGACATAAAATGTAAAAATATTCTACAATTAACTACAGACGTCATGTTTAGGAACCTTGTAAACATATACCTTGTAAACATTATATTCAAACATCCGACCCCCCCCCCCCCTCTATCACAGGACGTTATACTGTAAATATGGGTTAAGTATGTTAAGTTCTCCCTATACTGTGTTAATTCATGCTGCCATGTCGATCATATTGATATTATTTAAAGGGACCATCAGGGAAATTCTGAATCGTGAAAGAATGTTATAAAATGTCAAAAATAATAATAATCTATGAGTGAATTTTTCATTAAAGGTCGAAAATATCTTAAAATTTTGAAAGTTAATTTTGCCATCTGCTAGAAAAATCATAGCTAAAAAAAGATGAGGGATAAGAGTATTTTTTAATGTTGCTTTCATTTTTTAAACTTTGTTAAAAACAAACAACACATTATTTACCATTTGTAATCCATATTAAAGGGGGTTCAATTCAAGCTTAAAGGGACTGGTAAAGGAAAAATGAAATTTTTTTATTCATAATTATTTTTTATTATTATTTATTATTAAATTATTTTATTTAATTATAATTTTTTATCATTTTATAATTTTATTTTTATTTTTAATAGATATAATTGATAACATTATTTATAAGTCCGTATTACGTCACAAGAACTCCCACCAATGAGAGTGCAGTATACAGCAGGTCACGTGATACAGACAGAAACACATGACTACTAGACTGCACTACCGTTGGCTGGAGTTCTGGTGGCGTCCCTTTAAACTACGTCGACGCTCCCTTTAATATCAAAATCTATACATGATATAATTTGGAAGAATTTATCTAGAAATTAACATAAAAATCAGGATTTTCAGGTTTTCAAAACTATTTTTGAATATGAAGAAATATCATGCATGGTTGCCAGAAACTGAATAATTTAACAGATAATATTCCCGCCTATAAAACATCTAGAAATGTCAACAGACGCATTTAGCTTATGAAGAGACATGTCACATCAATCAAACCAGTCTACATTCTGTACACAAATATACTTTTGTTTGAGATCAATGTAGGGTTATCAGTGGAATTTTTACTACCGATTTATCTTTCTAGCCCAAAATGCAAGCAAGTTTGCGTAAATTCAAAACAATGTGCGAAAATTTACTTTCGGGGGAAACCATTAATCATTTGGCCAAAATAGAATTTTATGTACGGTTGTAAATCCTGCGAACAAAAACTACCTTTATTTTCGTATCTATATGATTAGTTTGATCTTAAGAAATCTTTGATAATTTTTAAAATTTTCACCATTTAATTTCATATTTTCTATTAATCTTAAGCCATATGCTTTACCAATTTTCCATTGACCATCAAAACAAAAATTGGCAATTTCCGGTTTAAAACGGTGCCCTTTCATGGAGGACAGAAATTGAAAGGATACTGTTGCAAGAATCGGACTCGATCAAAGGAAGGTCACTTGAAATTACGCATACTGTGAACTGTCCCTTTTAAATCAAGTTTGGGCAGGATTAAAGGTTAAATGTTTTCATTTTTTGAAAATCTGACCTTAGATTATTAAATGCGTTGCAATGCATTTAAAACCAATGCAGGCGAAAACTTTATACACTTACTTTCTTGCTCGCACACTCAAAAGGGGGGGGGCCACAAAACGTATTACTCTCCGGAAAATTTAAACAGTGTTTAAACATAACTTAGAATTGTCGGAGGAGGCTGATTTTTTGCATGCAAACTCAGAATTATGTATATTACGTGCATTTTTTGGTTTTGAAGGAATCTGAGCAAAAGTGCGTGCGCGCGCGCGTTTTTTGTGAAGTCGCATTTTTTCACAAAAAACGCGCGCGCGCGCGCACTTTTGCTCAGATTCCTTCAAAACCAAAAAATGCACGTAATATACATAATTCTGAGTTTGCATGCAAAAAATCAGCCTCCTACGCCAATTCTAAGTTATGTTTAAACACTGTTTAAATTTTCCGGAGAGTAATACGTTTTGTGGCCCCCCCCCTTTTCTAATCACTATATCCTTGCAACCTGATGGTTCTAAACTCAGATTATTTGATTTAACAGAATTTATAGTTTGATCGAAATATAGGTCTACAAAAGATTTAGGGATTCAAGTTCTTGGTATGATATCATTGTATTAAACCTATATCGAAAACCCTTATAGCATCTTCTATTTTAATTGTGAACATTTTCTATTTGTGTACATTGTAAGACAAAAACAAAAGAAGTTCGCAGAATTTCTGAAAACATTTCGTGGATTTTTTAAACTTAATGAAAATAGAACTTTGTTGGAGGCTAATTTTTGAAATTTTGATCATCCATGATACTTTCCTGGGGTCATGTGAGGTCCCACACAAAATTTGTGTCTTATAGGTTTAGCTGTTTTGACGTTTATTAGCCGGATACAAACAGACAGACACCCAGACACACAAAGTATATATCTATTTCAATTGTGAACATTTTCTCTTTGTATACATTGTAAAACAAAAACAAACATAAAGGTTGCGGATTTTCTAAAAATAGAATTCGTAAATTTTCAAAATTTAATGGAAATCAAATTGTGTTGGAGGTAAATTTTTGAAATTTTGACAGAAAGACAGACAAACAAGCAAAGTAATATAAACAGATATATAGGAAATGTGAAAATATTCTAAATATAATGAGGAGCGAATATTAGCATTGCTGCATCTAACTTTGCTAGAATTTGGACTAAAAAAGTAGAATTAAACATAGATAGAATGATAGGTTGAGAATAGCTAAGCGGAATTTATGATAAATGATGAATAAATCAAATTTCAAATTTTCTAATCCATATATCTTTGTAACCAGATGTCGTAGACCTAAGGAATAGGATATAATAAAAGAATTACTTTTAAAAAAATAGTTAAATGATTGTTAATTTTTAGATTTGATTTTATCCTTTAGTTGTGATGGTTCTGCAGTAAGCTTTGATTCTGGTATTTCCATTAGCTCCGCCTTTTTTAGTCTACTGTTCTCTTCTATTTCACTATGAATACAATTTGGATAAAATAAATAAAAAAATGTTTTTTTTAGTTGTATGTTTGTTTAAAAAAAAACAAATAAGGAAATCTGTGAAACATTATTTAATGTACTGAGAGAAAATAATTGCGCAAAAATAAAAGCAGAAAAAACATCGTGACAATATATAAAGAGATTTTAATTTATTGAAAATCTAAATATCGGAGGGTTCAAATGTTAAAGCACGATAAAGTCCAACAAGATACTCCTATAGACTACGTGTTCTTTATGTGTTTTCATTTTGATGAAAGTTAAACAAAATAACGCACCTTAAAATTTTTCTAGCTTCCGATATTCTTGTTTCATAACTATTTAACTCTTCAGCTAATCTACAGCAGAAATAATTTTCATCATGAGCTCAGCAATTTTTTTCAAAATCGTAACGTAGGCATCATATAATTTCAAAATTCTCATCCTCATTTAAATTAGACTTAAAATAAACTTAGTGTAGCAGGAAAATGATGGTTTGATCTTTCCTGCGACTGTAAATAGCATTTTGTTTGTCATTATTTTTACCCTTCGTTCGCAATCAACCCCATTTTGCCTCCCCCCCCCTCCCCTTTACTGATGTTTAACGGGTTTTCTTGTTTATGTTTGGTTTCTATATTTAACCCAAGCCACGCGGAGAAATCCGTTATCCCCGAACCCGGGAGCTGGTGAGCTGGCCGGCCAGCTCACGGGGCGTGGGGTAGAATGCGAACCTAGGGTGGAGCGAAATAGAGGGAAAAAAGGCAGTTGATCGTCAGCTCCCTTAAACTGAGGTTCCCTTGAAGAATTCCCCTATTTGATGAAACTGATTTGATTCATATTATTTAGTTTGTATAAGTATCGTTCGATTTAAAGTTTGTATTTTTGTATCTTTTGTATATAAATATATTGTAAGAAAAACCGACTCGTTGAATATTTGAGAAACTCAGTGCATTGCTTTATTGATTTTTATTCATATACAATATTAGTTTAGATATCAAAAGTTTTATTTATGAATATAAATTGTTTCTAAATAAAATTACCTGATCATTTCCTCTTCATTTTCTAATTTTCTACCCTTTCATTTCATTCAGATTATTCACTTAAACCAAAGAATAAAGACAGTAAAGGTGTGCCAAGAGAATCAATAAAATAAAAAAATAAGTTAGCGAAATCTTTAAGATTAAAGATTAAAAAGTAAAATTTAGCTAATAAATTTTAATGAACAGTTAGATGAGATTAATTTTATTAAATTATTTTTGCATTTTTTTAGCAAAAAGAATAACAAATGCCTGAATTTCTCTGTTAGCATTAAAAATTTCTATTTTGGTTTTGTTCTTGTTTATTTCTAAGTCAGATATCTAAAAAACATAATATTTATAATTTTGTTTTGTTTAGTAAAATATCGAATCGAACATCGTAAATAATAAACTTGAAAATTTTTCTAAAAAATAACTTAAATATATATGTCCTGCCTCTTGAAAAAGATTCTCTCTTTTCTCTTCGAATGCATCAACCTACGTATAGAGAAGAATATCCAGTGGTGAGCATATTGAGATATTGTCAGGTAGATGAGACCCATACAACTTAGGAATAGAAGGTCAAGACGACTGAGCCGACGACCTACCACATTTTGTGGGACCAGGAAACGTTATGGAGTTCAAATTTATAAAAATTTCATGAAAAAAATGTCGACATTTATTATTTTAAACATGCATCAATCAGTGAATAAATGAAAATCATTTTGTTTTGCAATTTTTGATCAGAATAAAGAGTTGTTAGAAATTATGTAAAATTTACAGCAGTTTGTTGATTAGCTAAAATTATAAATTTTGACCCTGAGAACAAATTTTGTGAAAGAACGATCTAAAAACTAACCAACGTAATGCACATCACTAGTATCTACCTGTATACAGTAAACAAACGTAATGCACATCACTAGTAACTACCTGTATACAGTGAACCTACGTAATGCACATCACTAGTATCTACCTGTATACAGTGAACCTACGTAATGCACATCACTAGTAACTACCTGTATACAGTGAACCAACGTAATGCACACATTATCACTAGAAACTACCTGTATACAGTGAACCAACGTAATGCACATCACTAGTAACTAACTATATACAGTGGCGTATGAGTTCTTTGAGTTATGTAAAGAAGTAAATTACGACATATTGATTTAAACTCTTAAAATGTTGATTTGCGTATTTTCTCAATTTTTAGGAACATTTTTAAAGTTTTAGATTTATGTTTTAATATAAAATAAAGTAAATGACGTCTAGAGGATAAACTAGAGGATAAACGATGTTCATGAAGTATAACTTTTAATCAGACCAATTGACGTATAGAGTCATGTGTTGCTAGTTAATTCATTCTCAGATATGATACAGTGGTAGGCGATCATATCAATATAAGGAAGACAACTTTTGACTTAAATCAAGCTTTTAAACAACATGGATAAACATAAACATAGAAACAAAGAAAAGCTGTCAATTAAAAAAGCTTCTCTTTAGTTACTTATAAACTTGCAATTCGGAGAAAGCTTGTTAACAATAAAAACTTCAGAAAAATGTCGTCTTCATTTTATTTATAAAAACGCCTACCACTGTATGTTTTGATTATATACGAGAGTGTTTAAAGAAAGTAGGTTAATCTGCAACATATTGCACAGTATTAATATATAAACACTAAACAAAAATTTGAATAATTTTAACTATGAGAAAATGTGAAACTCGGTATTTATCAAAAAAAACTCCGTTTCAATTCCAATTAACTAGCTCACAAATCGTACAACATCTGTGCAGGCAGAAATTATTTAGTTTACAAAGATAACCCCCCCCNGCCTCTCCCAACTCTCCCCCCCCCCAAATGTTTTCTTTCTAAATGAAATCTATTGTTTGAAAATAAAATCTTTGATTTTTGAACGTTAAGTTCTTATTCTTAAACTTTTTACAAGTCCAAAAACTTGAACCAACGAAAATTCATATTACTGGTTTCAATAAAACGAGACAAAATTTAAAGAAAAGCAAGACGTAGCTGAACCGTTCAGATGTAGTTCAGCCACTTCTATGGTTCATCGGTTCAAGCTAAAGAGAACTAGTTGAACTATGTCTACGTGGTTTAACTATGTCTCCATATTTATTAACTGTGGTCTCCTAGGTTAACTTTTGTTTTATTGCCACATTTTACCTTCTTATAAAAATATACCTGAATATTAAGCTGTGTTAGATACTTCTGTCTCTGTTTAATTTCTAAATTATTATTTGGATTACAGATTAGAAAAATTAGAATTAGAATTATAAAACCATTATAGTAAGACACTTTTAACTTCTAGGGTACGATATTTGGAAATACAGAGAGGTTTATTGCCAAACCGTTCTATTCTTTCCCAACAAATACCATATAAGAAGATTTCAAAATTAAATTTAAACTCTTGGTTTTATACAGAGTTAACCACAAAGGAAGAGACTTTAATGCCACCCTGTCGAAACTCTTAAGAATAAAACAATTTATAGGTTAAAGAAAGTCTCCATGAAATAGTCATGTAATGATATTTTAAATGACAAATTAAAGTTTAAAAAAATTCCATTATCATATATGTCTCTCCACTTGAGGTTCTGATGAAAAATATAAAAAATTACGGATGTTTTTCATTTCTCTGAATTTCTCTAATGTTCCTGAGCGCACAATCATTAAGAAACATTTTCGTTCATCACAAATATTTCGTTTGTTAAAGAAAGCAATGCCCAAAGATAATGAGGTTTTGCGAGAAAAAAATCCCTACTTTTTAAAATTCTTTATTCTCTTTCATCAAATCATTAAAAAAATTTAGTCTTTTTGCCCCAAACTCAAAATCCTATATCTTTTGATATTTCAAACTATTTAGTCAATTAGAATTCATAGTTTGAAATATCAAAGGTTTACTGCATTCGTTTGCAAAGAAAGATATAGGGATAAAGAAATCTGAGTTGTTACAATATATCTATATGTATAAAGTATTAATCTCTGTTTGTGTTTACGAAAAATAAAATGGTGTGCGGATAAAAAACGTCGTATCTTTATTCCCTTATTTATTGGGACACCCTGTGAGAACCAGAAAACTCTAAAGACGAATTTAAGACTTTAAATAGTCAAATGAACATGATACACAAGCAAAGCATTTTGCAGATGTAAACAGACTCTAATTGTGATTTAAATAGTTGTTAGTAAAACTATTTGCTTTGTAACATCAAATAAACTATTTTTACTTTAATGTCGTCTTCCTGTTTCACAGTTTTTTCGTTCTCACTATAATATACATAAAAATATCTGTACTTTTGTTTCCAATTATTTACCTGCTGTAATGTACTTTAATCGTTTCTGATGAACCAAAATATTTTTCATCATAGATTCTCCCCGCTCCTACAGCACATACAAATAAGGTGATGGACGGGNGAGATATAGGGTTGTTTTTTACATTTCAGGAATTTAAGGGTCTATTTTAAATGAACCGATTCACATTGGTACCCGTTATGTAAAAGAAAACGTAATTAGATCTGGATTTTTTGTCTTCTGGCAGCCATAGGCCACAACCGTTCTGTCTTTCATTCCAGTAACCTTTGAGTCTTCCGGCAGCCATAAGCCAAAACCGTTCCGTCTTCCATTCCACAACATTTGATTCTTCCGCGGCAATTATTACGTTTTTAAATGATGAATTTAGTTCAATGAAATTGCTATTGTGAAAAATCCAGCAAGCATCACGCGAAATGTGATACCTTTAAGAAATTTTAGAAGTTTATTAAAAAGAATAAATCGTGTATTCAGTTGATTAACTGCTTTACATTTTACATCATTGTACGCATTGTGGGCACCGAGACAAATTGTTGTGGGTTCTCTAAAAAATAAGAAAAGATGATAAAAATCACAATATTAATAATAATTAATATTGAGCGTTACAGATATAAAACATCATATATATATGACAGATAAAGAAACTATAAGTTTGGAGTTTTAGGTAAAATATCATTTCCTTTATAACTCTGATATATAATTAACAAAAATAAATGTACTAAACCAAGCAATTTATAGACTTTAAGAATGAAAGATAGACGGTTCTTTAATAGGTTTTTTTAGGGGGTGGGGGGGGCATAAATCTTCTAGGGGGTGCACAAAAAAAATTTCGCCGTGCTGACGCACGCCTGAGGTGCCCCCCCCCCTTCACTAAAGCTCTCGTGCGCCTTTGGGATTTATCATTATTTAAATTCAAAACTTAAATATAAATATCTGTAAGAATTTCTTTTGTATGAAGTTGCTGGATTTTTTAAATGAAAATCACAATTTCCGTCAACTAATTTTACCATTTGAAAACGTAATAACTGCCGGAATACTCGGCGGTATGGAAAACCAAACGGAATTGTTGTTTATGAAAAAAGCTAATATGTGGCATGGAAGAAAAAAATGTTGTAGCTTATGCACTACCTGCCTTCCACCGCTCATCACAGAGGTATTATTTTATTACGGTTCCTTTAGAAAGCAATGTAAGAATATATTCACCTGAACACCAGAAAGCAATGTAAGAATATATTCACCTGAACACCAGAAAGCAATGTAAGAATATATTCACCTGAACACCAGAAAGAGAGTTTACCATTTCTCGAACCATGCTGAACAAATAAATTTTATTTAAATATACAGCGAGACCAATAAAACTGTGGAATGAAGACGCCATTTAAGCAATATTATGAGCATTTGGTGCTATATGTTTTAAAACAATAGTTTTACCAATTGCTTACCAATTTATAAATTAACCCTATCCCCGCTGGGGTACTTGAAAACCAGGATACGCTGGGGGGGGGTCAATTTGACCCCCCCCTCTAAATACCATGTTTTATGTCCAAATATGACAAATGATACATCATTAGAAAGCTCTTGTGCTCTACTTTTAGAATCTGCAAAAAAATTTGCAAATTTGCGAAAATTGAATTTTTTATCGCAAAATCCAGTTTTATAGTAAAAATGTTTGCAAAAAAAATTTGTCCAAAAAATGACAAATTATACATTTTTGAAAAGCCCTTGACCATGCCATTTCAAATATGCAAAAATTTTTGCAAAATTTTAAATAACCTGATTTTTAATCAAGAAAAACTAAAAATGTGAAAATTTCCTCTAACAGGTTGTTTGCAAAAAATTTGCAATTTTTTTTTCGCAAAACTTGCGCAATCCGTTTCCTTATGTCATAGGCTTTCCAAAAAGCTAAATTTTATCAAAATCTGACAAGTGAAAGTGGGTCAAAACAAAGATTTAGTTTGCTACAGGCAAAAGCAGTCATTCAGGCAGTGTGCCTGAGGACTCAGGCAGTTAGTATTAAAGCCCGGTTTTAGGCTTAAAGGGAGGGCTTTGGGTATGTAAGAAAAGTCAGAAAATTTCAACAGCCTCAGACCAATACTTTTTGAGTTATGTAAAAAAAACTACAGGGGGGGGTCAAATTGACCCCCCCCCAGCGGGAATAGGGTTAAAATGGTTTTGTGTCAATCGTAAAATTGCCGTGTTTCATGTTTTTTTGCCTATTTAAAGTTATAATTTGAGTGCAAAAATCGTACTCCTATTTTTCAAATTAATGTATCATACTGTACAGTACCTTGAGAGATCTGAAGCTTGCCCGACTGCTTTATATTTTTCCTTTAATTAAACTTTTCAGATAAAAAGGGAAAAAGAATGCGGACAGAAAATAAAATAAAGGAACAAGAATGCGAACAGGAGATAAAATAAAGGGAAGAAGAATGCGAACAGGAAATAAATAAATGGAAGAAGAATGCGAACAGGAAAGAAATAAAGGGAAGAAGAATGCGAACAGGAAAGAAATAAAGGAAAGAAGAATGCAAACAGGAAAGAAATAAAGGGAAGAAGACTGCGAACAGGAAAGAAATAAAGGGAACAAGAATGGGGACGGGAAAGACAATAAAGGGAAGAAGAATACGGACAGGAAAGAAAATAAATGGAACAATAATGCGGACAAAAAAGATAATAAAGGGAACAAGAATGGGGACGGGAAATAAAATAAAGGAACAAGAATAAGGACAGGAAAGAAAATAAATGGAACAATAATGCGGACAAAAAAGATAATAAAGGGAACAAGAATGGGGACGGGAAATAAAATAAGGGAACAAGAATACGGACAGGAAAGAAAATAAATGGAACAATAATGCGGACAAAATAGATAATAAAGGGAACAAGAATGGTGACGGGAAATAAAATAAGGGAACAAGAATACGGACAGGAAAGAAAATAAATGGAAAAATAATGCGGACAAAAAAGATAATAAAGGGAAGAAGAGCTTTTTCTGAATTGGGAACCGTTTCTTACAGTTAAAAATGTTTATCTGAATTGTTCCTTTAGATTAGCGTTTATTTGAGCAAAATCTTGAATTGAAGATGCCAGGACGGGATCAACCTAGGATTATTAAAAGGGATTGTTTATCTTTTTTGAAATGAACAGAACACGTCAAAATTTTAACTAGCAACACAATAAAGCTTAATTCATGATGTAAGATACTTTCCCAAATGATTTTTCCCAAGTGGCAACTTCCCAAGTGGTATAATTCTCAATTGTGCAATTTCTTAAGCGGCAACTTCCCAAGTCTATCTTAGCCGCAGCGCTCGGTCCCCGCATGCTCTTCGGCAACATTTACTTTTAAACCTTGTTTTGCTAACCCACATTTGACAAAAGAAAGGCTTTAAAACATTCCATTTGGGTGAGTTGTAGTTGTGCTCCTAGGTTAAAAACTAGAGGTTTAGTTGTATTTTTTTACATAAAAAATCCCCTTTTGTCATATTTTGAGAAACGAATAATGTTAAGGACAAAGCAGTGTTGGATACTTATACTCTCGATCCACCTGATCTCGATATCCACTGCAGGCATTTTAATTTGAGGATATTTAAAATTTTAGTCATTCATCCCCTTCAACCCCTGACAGGGTACGATACCATGTGAGGGATATCGAAAAATTTAAGATTTAAAAGTTATAAATTTAGTAGGTTGACTATTATAGATAAAAATAGGTTTCCAAGTAAAGCTGGGTTCCCAAGATAGGTCTTCTCAAAGTAAGTAGTACTATAAATTTCACTTACTTTTTGATTTTGTTGTTTCTCTAAATTGTTTGGAAGCAGATTGCTTTCATTTAGTTGCTGTACTTCATTCTGTAGCTGTACATCAGTCATTTGCTGTACCTCATTCTGCAGCTGTACATCAGCCATTTGCTGCACTTCATTTTGAATGGTTGATTTATTTTCAACATCAAATTGATCTTGCTGTACATGTTTGTTATTCTGTACATGAATGTGCGTCTGTACATTACCCATCTCAACTCCGTACAGCTGTACACCATCTTGAGGGGAATCAACCCGGTTTTCAAGAACAGTATCTTGACAACTAAAAATTATCAGAATGAAACCGATTTGATATTTTACCCCTCCCCCCATCCACCTCTTTTTGATATATTACCCCTCCCCCCATCCACCTCTTTTTGATATATTACCCCTCCCCATCCACCTCTTTTTGACATATTACCCCTCCCCCCATCCACCTCTTTTTGACAACTTTTATACCACCCCCTTTTATACTTAAATCTAATGCATGCAACTACTGAATAAAAAAAATGAATGTTTTATTTTAACTTAAGCATAAAAGGAACAAAATTTTCACATCTAAAGAATTTTTTTTCATTATTCTTTTTCTTACAAAAAACCAGACATAGTAAAAATCAAATAGATTCTAGTACAATAGATGGCAACGTAGAATTTGTACACTCTCAGTACAGTTGTATTCTGTCGTCACAAGTGCCTATTCAGTTTTTGTGTCCGACAAAATCTTCAATAATAGTGATAATTTTAGAATAAAGTGCTTTTCTTACAGTAAAAAAAGTGCAATTTTATGTGTTCTTTAGTTTCTGTTTTTGAACTTTTTTATATAATCTTGGAAAACATGTCAACTAATTTGAGAAAATTTCATTGTCCTTGTTATTTTTGACACTTGTGACGTTGTGTATAATTGGTTAATTTCTCTGTTGCCACCTATTGTACTTGATAATCTATTTGGTAAAAATATGTTCAAATCATTTAAAACTGAAAAATTTGTAAATGTACATGCAATTTGTTGTATTTTCTATCATGAAATGCTTTTCTTAGAATGATCTAAATTATTCTCAAAAGCCAGTTTTTTCTTATTCCTTATTCTTAAATTATGAATAATGATCACAGACATAAAGTGTAAAACTAAAACAACATGAAAGGAGGTCTTTGCCACAAACACTGATTTTTTATCACTTCATCTTTGCAGCGAATTTTCGTAGACCTTAGATATTTCAAACTATGAATTCTGTTAGATTTATTAATCTAATTTTGAAATATCAAAGGTTTACATTTTCAGAGTCGAATTTAAAGAATTTGAGCTGCGGCTAAAATATGGTTGGTTCCACTTAAAATCGTATTCATTGTTGCACGATTTAAGCCGGCGCTCAATTGAATCCAGTTTTTAGCGGATTCAAGACACGCCTCAAATTCATTTAATTCGGACTCAGGTTGCAAAGATATAGAGGTTCGAAAATTTAAGGTTTAAGTCCTGAATCACCGATTCAAGATAAAATTCATGAAAATTTAAATCCGTAATTCATGATTTGAATCGGCGGTATGTAGTTCAGCGAACTCAAAACTCATTGAATTCGGTCCATAAAGTAAAAAAAGTTGATTCTTGTCACGAATTGAAAAAGTTTAATATTTAAATTTCAAAAAAAATCCGGGTTTGGTTATGTATTTTTAACAATTTTTGAATTTTTAGCAATTTTTTTATTTTTAACAATTTTTGTATTTTTAACAATTTTTGTGGTCTAAAAATCGTCTTTCTAGTCTCTCATAGGTTGTAGTTGACTTATAATTAACGTTCTTTATTTCTGTACAGTTAATTACGAGTTCTTATAGACAGAAGTAATTACTACCTTGCCAAGAAAAATAACATAATCGCTAAATATTTTTTAAGTAAATACATATTATCTGAAAAAAACATGAATACTTAATATCTGTTTCTGTATATACAAGATGAATGCTAGCAATGAACTGTTTATGTATATACAAGACTAGAAATTCAAGGCGCTTCGCGCCCTTCTTTCTAGCCTTAGAGGGCGCTTCGCGCCCATCTTCTAAATTAATTGTAAACATGTTCTCTTTGTGTACATCGTAAAACTAAACAAAAATAATTTGCGGATTTTTACAAAAAATTTCGCGGATTTTCAAAATTTTAAAAAATTTAATGACGATCGAATTTTGATAGAGACAAATATTTGAAATTTTGATGATTCATAAACCTTCCCTGGGCTCCCTAGATGTCCCACAAAAAATTTGGGCCCGATCGGTTCAGCCGTTTTGACGTTTATTGGATACAAACAAACAAACAGACAAACAAACAAACAGACAAGCCAAATTTATATATAGATGAATGCTAGCAATGAACTGTTTCTGTATATACAAGATGAATGCTAGCAATGAACTATTTATGTATATACAAGATGAATGCTAGCAATGAACTATTTATGTATACATTAGGTGAATGTTAGCAATGAACTGTTTATGTATATACAAGATGAATGCTAGCAATAAACTATTTATGTATATGCAGGATGAATGCTAGCAATCAACTGTTTCTGTATATACAAGATGAATGCTAGCAATGAACTATCTATGTATATGCAGGATGAATGCTAGCAATGAACTGTTTCTGTATATACAAGATGAATGCTAGCAATGAACTATTTATGTATACACAAGATGAATGATAGCAATGAACTGTTCATGTAAGTACATGATGAAAGCTAGCAATGAACTATTGATGTATACACAAGATGAATGCTAGCAATGAACTATTTATGTATACACTAGGTGAATGCTAGCAATGAACTGGTGGTTTTAGGGAAACTCCACTTTTTCCCAGTGTTTTACTGGTTCGTCAGGAAATATGCATGATTGTAGTATATATATTGAATACATACCACCTGTTTATGATTTTTAATATTTTCTAATTGGACGGATTTTTCATGAATGAATTGATTAATGATTGATTGGTTGTGACACTTGGGTTGATTGATAGATAGATTAATATATTATATAAATAATTTACTGATTAGTTGATAGATAGGATGGCTGATATATAAATGGATATATAGATTCAGGCTTATGGTTGATTTAACGGGTTTATCAATTAGTTCTTCAATATATATCCATTAGCATTCTACTGCATTATAATAGAAACCTAGAGAAAACTAGTAATTGGCATCGTTTATTTGTTTGCTTCCACTTTTTTATTAAACATTTTAATTATTGATAAATCTAATTGGAATCCTTTTTTTCGTAAAAATAAAATTTAAAATTTCACGTTTTTTATCACTTCAATTTGCTTTTTGTAAAGTAGAAATCTAAAAAATCATCCTTTTTAAAAATGACATGGCTGCAATATTTTGAACTTTCAGATTCAATTTGTCTGTCAATAAATGGGGGATTTTTTAAAATTTGTTTTGTAATTTTTCAATTTGTTCATAATTCATCAACGTTCCATTCGTAGAAGGCTAGAATTTCGTTTATACCGGCTTTGCTTGGGCTGAACAATAGTGATTTGCATGTATTCCTCCCCTCCCTAGTCCCTACCCTTCCCCCCACAATGCACATTTATGTACACAATTCCCCTTACTTCTCTTTATTCTCCGTCACCCCTACCCAANAGAGAAGTGCTCCCCCTCCTTCCAATCCTATGTCCTCCGTGATTCCCCTTGAGAGGGGTTTCAGTCATATTCCAGATACTGATATACATACATATATAATATACATATTTCTGGTTTAAACTTCACATCTTTTTACAAAGAAATATACCATACATAATGTTTTATGCCTTGCCGGGATTTTTTTAAAACGGGATTGCTACAAGCTATTTTGATGTAGAGAAAATGTAAGTTTTTAAAAATTCGTCAAATTGTGATTGGAAAAACCTCGAACTTTCCGTTGATCAAAAAATTCCATTATTATTAATACCTGCAGATACTGATATACGTACACAGATACTGTTATATACAATGAATATATATATATACATATATACATATTTCTAAGACATCTAAGATCTATAACATCAGGTTGTAAAGAGAGGGTCTAGAAATTGTGGCGTGAGGGGGGGCATGGAGGCTAACAGCCCCCTGGATAAACTAAATCTATGTTTTGAAGGGGGTTTTAAGCCCCCCCTAGAAAGAAAAAAATGTTTAAATTTCTAAAAAAAAACTTTTTGCAAACCTTTTTATTCGTTATTTCGAGCATAATGTGTGCAATTCCGAAATGAATTTGGTCAGTTCGATAGTTTGACAAAATGTTCGATATTTTAACAAAATGTTCGAGTTCAGATCAGTGCCTTAAGTTTTAAATTTTATCTAAGAAAAAATATTCTAAGGTAATAATAATGACAAAAGCTAAAAATTCGGGGGACTTGTATCAATGAAGAAGGGATCATATTGTCTGAAAAATGGCGAAAAAAATGAGAACCTGGAGACGTGCTGGTGGAGAAAGAAGAAAAAGATGAATTTGCCTCGTACAATTTTTTTTCTCAAAAATAAAAAGAAATTTCTAAAAAATGTATATCTAAGAATCTAGATTGGTACAAATCTTCGCCATTTCTTCAAAATCTTCCCCATTCTCTTTCAAATTTCCCCCATTTTCTTTCTAATATTCCCAAATATTCTTTCAAATCTTCACCATTTTCTTTCAAATATTCTCAATTTTCTTTCAAATATTCCCCATTTTCTTTCAAAATTTTCATTCAAATGTTCCCCATTTTTCTATCAAATGTTCTCAAATTTTCATTCAAATGTTCCCCATTTTCTTTCAAATCTTGTTCTTGCTCATCTTCCTCTATACAAACCTCTAGCTTGAGTCGAGATGTACTTTGTATTCTATTTACATACAAGCTTGGGAACCCAGCGCTGCAAAGGTTACTGAAATTTACTCCCGCCGTTTACCCGCACTTGAAAGATTTTACCGGGAAACTAAATTTTCGCATTAAAAGTCGACCCACTCAACTTAGAATCTTAAAACCAAGCTAAGAACATTTCCTTGGGTCTCCTGAGTTCCCAGTAAAAATTTGAGGCAAATCAGTCCAGGTGTTCTGAGTTATTATCGGACAAAAAAGCAATCACACAGACAAACAGAGATTACAACTTTACGTATTTAGATAAAGAATTATTTATGGTATAATTTATCATCACAATTACTGATAAACGATAAAAAACCTTGTACAATTATCTATATAATAAAATAATTATACTATTCTCAATTTTAAGATAAATTTTAACGATATAAATGAACTATAATTTTTCTAATTTTTCTAATCTTTTCAACCTTTTTAAACCTTTGATATTACAAAATTTAATTTCTGTTGAATTTACTTGTCAAATTTTAAGATATTAAAGGTTTTAAGTGTGCAAACGCAGGAAATGTGTTTGTACACTTAGTTAAAGGTGTATAGGGTACCGTTGTAAATCAAACATGACCCTTCATACATAATAAGCATTTGAAAATACATCCACAGTATTTAGAGAAAACTAAGATTTCCAGAATCAGTCATAATTTGGGAAAAGATTCCATAATTTGGGAAAAGATTCCATAATTTTGCAGTGGTAAAATGTAGAAATAGAATGGCGGATTTAAATTTAACATCTGGGGATTTCCAAGAAATCGGCCACGTGGAGATCGAAGAAAATGGAACAGTTTGGACCGTCATCATTATTGTAGGTATATATATATGAGAACATGCAAATATGCACAATAGTTAAAGATCTTAAAAAAAACATTTTGCTTTAAAGAAATATCTACTCAAAATTTGTAAGATTTAATGGTTCTAAGAAACCTACCTGTATATATATTACGTTATAATCAACTGACCGTGTTTTCTGACAGTTTAATCTTTATCTGTGCCTTATACATAAATATAGCTAGTTGAATTTAAACTCTGTTTTATTAAGGTCAGACGTATTAGCTCTTGGTAGAGAGTATAGAGTTTGAGTTAGTTGCATCTTGATTAATACACACTTAAGAATACAGAGAGTGTTGTATCTTGATTGATACACACTTAAGAATACAGAGAGAGTTGTATCTGAATTGATACATACTTAAGAATACAAAGAGAGTTGTATCTTGATTGATACACAATTAAGAATACATAGAGAGTTGTATCTGGATTGATACACAGTTAAGAATACATAGAGAGTAGTATCTGGATTGATACATAGTTAAAAATACAGAGAGAGTTGTATCTGAATTGATACATAGTTAAGAATACAGAGAGAGTTGTATCTGGATTGATACATAGTTAAGAATGCAGAGAGAGTTGTATCTGGATTGATACATAGTTAAGAATACAGAGAGAGAGGTGTATCTGGATTGATACATAGTTAAGAATGCAGAGAGAGTTGTATCTGGATTGATACATAGTTAAGAATACAGAGAGAGTTGTATCTGGATTGATACATAGTTAAGAATACAGAGAGAGTTGTATCTGGATTGATACACACTTAAAGAACTATTAAAGTAAGGCATTTGTTACAAGCCTAGTAATCTTCTATTCTTTTATTTAGTAATATATTAATGTGGAAATTAAGGAATTGAATCATTGTCACATAATCTGAGTTTCAAACCCCTCTTAACTTTGCAACCTAATGTTGTAGACCTTAAATTATGACTTATTTTGGATCAAATAATCAAAGTTTTAAATATCAAAGATTTACAGTTATTGTGAATAGTGATTGAAACTTAGAAAATTTGGGAATGTGACGAAGATTTGCAATTCCTTGATAAAAAAGGTAAAATAGGTTAAGATTCGACTAATTTACAGTGTAAATAGACAAAGTGAATAAATACTAAAGTGGAACAGACTAAGGAAACGACGACAGTTTGGGCCATAAGGTTTTATTTGGTTTGGAAATAATTTCATGAAAAGATTTCGTTTGGAAAGTAAAGACTAGAAAAAAAAGACTAAAGACCCATGTAAATGTCGTCTTCAATGGCTGGAGTGTGGGGGGGGGGAGCTCAGTCTGTGCTGGGGCTCAAACTACCTTGAAATGTAGGACCATAACTTTTCAAGCTTTTTTAAAAAATAGAAAAATGCATAT